ACCCATCAGTTAGCTTGATGAGGGTGGATGAGTGCAGTTTTGGGCCAGCTATGGATCTACTGGGTTGCCATGGTGCCCAGCCCATATTTAATTCCTCAAGCACACTCTGATGCTTTAGAAAGTGTCTTCTATTGGCAGGATGATAAAGAACGTTGTTTCCCTCTACCAGGTATCAGGTAAAAAAACCATCAGAGAATCCAGTGGCTTTTCCTCTAGAGCTGAAGTGGAGAATCTGGGATTACAGTGATATCAGTGTGTTTCTGAAAGGCATCACGAAACAATTCAGAGGTAACAAAAAAGAGCCACAGGGGTTTTACGCTGGATGACATTTTGATCCCAGAATGAAAAAGGGAGGTTCTCTGTTAGTGTCAGGAGGGATCAAAGAGGGATAGAGTTCAGGGTCAGTGGAAAAAACACCTTCATTTCTCCGTAGAAAGGGCTCTGCATCTTGAGCACAAGGAGGGATAACAGGAGCTTTCTGATTTCTCTCCTTAAAGATGCTCAAGCTAAAAATGGCACGCATTAGATAGTTGTGGTTGACCATTTCTCCTTTCTTTCCCAAAAGCATGTCCCCTGATCAATGGGGAAGAAGATTAGACCTTATCTTGCTGTTCTGAATCTGAATATTTGGCAAACAATTAGAGTTTGGGGTAGTATTTTGATTAAAAAGACACTGATGACATTATGGCATTTGGCTTTCCTTATTCTTTATTTCCTGATTTGAGGCCAGGGAAACCAAAGAAGACTCTATCTATAGGGAGGCCCTGCTGTTGATCCAGTTCCAATGGTAAGATGCTGAATCTCTCCCTTTTCTTCCCCAGATACTCTGAAAGGTGGACTTCAACTGCAGAAAGGTAAATATCAGTTTTAAGAAGTTCTGTCACTTCCTATTTAAAACTCTGATGCCCATAATCTTAACAGAAAAATCACGCAGTAACAAACAGAATAATATAGGATCAGACACCTTGAAGGTATGAAGATCCAGTAAGGGTATTTGAGAAAATGATATCAGCCTCAGTGTAGAAAGAAATATCTGGACAATGGGGAAAAAATTGGTACTGAAACGAGCATAGAATTCCTCTTGTTTTTGAGCAATAATGAATGCGAGAATCCTTCCAAGAGGAAAGAATCCCAGTGTGGTGGCCCCTATTTTTTAATCTTTGGCAGCGTTTGACTCCATTCCAGCTCTTTCACATTGGTGGGTGTGATCGAGAAGAGGCTGCCATTGGCTGCCCTGAGCACCTTCTTGATTTTCCTCCAATAATATGGCTGAGCTGTGCTGCTTCCTGTCGCCACAGAGCGGAATACGCTTGTCCTAGGACGCTTTGGTGCCAGAAGCAGAGCTGAGCCCTGTTCCTGCCAGCAGCTAGCAAGAAGGCAGAGCCAGACAGGGCTGTCCTGGATATTTTGCTGCTGAAGGTGGACCATCAAAGGGGCTTTCCCTCCTGTCCCTCGACAGCTGCCCTGTGGAGAGCTGGTGGCTTCTGGGAGCTTCTGATGTTCCTCCCTAGAGACCTGGGCAGCCTGCAGATTATGGCTTTCTCAGCACAAAAGAGCCACGATCTGTGTCTGTGGGGTGTGTGTGGCAGGAGCGAGAAGGCTTTATGAGGTTTTAGGCTGCATGTCCTTTGAAAAAAATTCTGAATCAGTACTTTGCCCCTTGCAAGAACACAGCACCCCTGGGCTATTTATTAAAGCAGCCAGACATGTTTCATTCTCCTGCAACATGGTGTGGCTCCTTTAAGAGTCACAGTGGATTCCTTGAAGCAGCAGAATCTTTAGTTCTTCATGCTTAGAAGGAAGAGTGGAAAATGTCAGGCTCCTTAAACAATTAGCGTGGAGGCTGTGACCTCATGTGAGACCAGAAGCACTTCTTGCAAATACATTTCAAAGCTTGCACAGCCTGAGTGACTCATGAGCCTGAAAAGGTTGAGATCATGTCTTTGGGATCAGAGGAATCAGTTCCTTTTGGCCAAAGCAAAAGGTGCCCAGTTGCTATGCAAGATCCTCCCCTTTTCTACATGCATGTGATAGCATGATGCTTATACAGAAATGGCAGAGCTTCATCACGCTTCCCTTCCATCATGTCCTCAGTTACCTCTGGGGGACCCCTCTGACTCTGCCAGTTCAGGATTGAAATGTGGCAGCCTCTTGCTCTGCCTGATCCTGTGAATTAACGCTCCAGGCAGAGTCCCTGTTCACATCTTGGTCGTCCCAGGAACTCACTGAAGGCAAAGCCAAACATTCTTCGCTCCCAACCCCATTCTTCCCACCTGCAAGATGGAAGTGAATGAGACTGAGGGGCAGAATTGCTGGGAAGGTGTGAAGCTGCAGGAAGAGTCGGAAGGAGTAGGCAAAGCTTAGGTATGGCTGAAGAAGTGTTGAATGTTCCCGTCCTGGAGGGGGCGCTTGGAATCTGATCTCCTTTCAGCGAGGAGGCCCTAGGTTTGACCTATTGGGAGTCACAACTCAAAGCAGACCTGCAGCTGAAGCTCTTTTTCTTCTCCTTCCTCCTTTTCCCCCTTACAGCAAATGTAATTCTGGATCCAGAAACAGCCCATCCTGGCCTCGCCTTCTCCAAGGATCATAAAGATGTCAGAGCAGTTGTTAAAGATCAATGCCTTCCCCAAAACCCAAAGAGATTTGAAATTTGGCGATTCATCCTTGGATGTCAGGGGTTTTCAACAGGGAGACATTGTTGGGAAATCACTGTAGGAAGTGAGTGGGGATGGGCTGTAGGGGTTGCCAAAAAGTCAGTGAACAGAAAGGATCTCATCAGTCTTGGTCCTGAGGAAGGGATCTGGCAGTTTGGGAAATGGAAACAGGGATACAGTGTCAACTTTCCCCCAGGATACACCAAACTGCCCCTGACTACAGATCTGAAGAGGATCCGCGTCTCTCTCAACTGTGAAGGGGGACAGGTGACCTTTTCGGATGCCGAGACCGCAGCCCTGCTCTACACGTTCTCGGAAGCTGCCTTGGCTGGAGAGACCCTTCTGCCCTCCTTCTTTCTGAACAACTATGCCTGCCTGACACTCGCTCCCTAAAAGTGGAGACGCACATGGACAAACGTTCAGAAAAATCCCTGTTTACCAGGTAGGGATCTCTGAAAGGCTGTAGAGCAAATTTGTACAGAAATAAATATTGCTCCCCCTCATGGAAAACTGACTGGGAGGGAGGGAGGGAGGGAGGAAGGATCCATCCTCCTACGCAGAACCTGTGTTAATACTCTGCCTCATGAGTGTTGGGGTTGTGAAATGTTGTTACTAAAAACATGAGGAGGAGAGAGGGTTCATTCCTACCTCGTGGAGAGCCATGAGGAGAAGAGAGGGAAAAATGAGGGAAACGGAAAAAAGGCGGGATCCAAGCCCCTCCCACACGAAGCAGCCAACTAGGCATGGGTGTATCCCCAACCTCTTTCCCGCCTCCCTCTGTCCCCTCTGCCCAATCAGCTATCAGCAAGGCATGACAGGCGAGTGGTGATTGTCTGCTTCGGAACCGAGGCAGACATTTGAAATCACTTAACCGCTGTGGGTATTGAGGGAAGGATGAAGAAGCAACTTGGATGCCTGCTGGTGAGGTAGGGCTGGCTTGAGGGGTGCCAGTTGTTGACCG